TCCCCCTTTTTTACTTCCAAAATATAATATGGAAGTAATATATGGGGGAAAAAAAGAAAGAAAAGAAAAGAAAACGATTCCTTTTATTTGACAGTGATCTACTCTGCATTAGCCGACAGGGAAAGATTACAAAAAAGAAATAATACTCAAGAAAATGATATCTGAAATGGGAAAATATAGGTTTTTATGATGATTATACTGACCAAGTGTTGATTCAACGTTGGACATTTGTGACATCATTAAAGCCGAGCTTTTTTTCACTTGGCACTTAGGCGTTGTGTTTCTAGTGGGTACTTCTGCTCAAGAGCTGTACGTTCCTGGATTGTCAAAGGATTATGAACAAATCCAATCACGCTCAAACTGAATACCTTTTTGCAGATTGACAAAAGCATGAACAAAATTCAACTAAAATATAGTCCTGCAGTATGAAAATTAATTCGCATCATCTTGTACAAGGTCTGATTCATGGAAACCGTGCTAAAAAATTCTTTCTTAAACCTTTATTTTGGCTCATGAATACTGTAAAACCCCCTAAGATAGGGGTTTTATTTGACACATTGTTGGTGAGATTGGCTGTAAAATATCTGTTAAATCGGTTTTATTTGGTGCCAAAGACCAAGGACCCCCTGCCTTGGGGCGAACCGTTGCTTGATTCTTTTCATCATTGCTATCAGCTGGTAGGTCAGTCGGACTCAAAGCTCGTCTGCTTAATTCTAAATTTGCMTCAAAATGCCCCGCATCTACGACCCGAAACGTCTGCATTGACCCTACCGCAATTGTAGCCAAAGGATTGTCTTTCGTTTGTCTATGAGCCTCTTGATCTCGACATCTGTGAACTCTAGGCTTCATTGGGAGCCTCGCATTGTCAGAGTTGGATAATTCTCTGGCTTTTGGCTTCCAACTTTACTATTCCTAGAACAATGGTATAAAAAAGTTTTGATCGAGAAGGGAATTTGCCTGGTCACGCCTTGAAATCTGAAGCTTTTCTACCGCATATACCCGACGGGCGAATAATAAAGTAAGGTAAGAAAATACCATGTAATTTGAATTGATTTTTTCTACATCATTTAGTAACTCTTTCAGAAAAAAGACTTAACTTGCAGCTCTTAGCACTACAAAACTTCATACATTAAATGGTTGCAACTCTAACGTTCAATTGATACGGTATCAATAACGAAATACAATCGAAGGACTTGTTTTCTTAGTAAAAATATAATATTCAAACTTATCCAAATCAAGAGTAACTCCATCTATTTAACCTTTTTTACTCCACAATAATGTCCTGTTTTGAGTCCATTTTGAATTTGTACAACGAAGTTAGGTGGCCAGATACGACACGAACATTTTGTTGATGCAAAGCGTCAACATCTATATGCTCCAAAACTAGATAGTTTATCTTTGAATCGTACGAACACCACGAAACAAACTCTGGGCACGGCTAAATCATAGATCGAACCCTGAGACAACCTCTAGGCTGATTTAAGTCAGGGCACGGCTAACTCTCAGATCGAACCCTGTAACAATCTCTGGGCTGATTTAAGTCAGGGCACTGCTAACTCACCGATCGAACCCTGTAACAACCTCTGGGCTGATTTAAGTCAGGGCACGGCTAAATCATAGATCGAACCCTGAGACAACCTCTGGGCTGATTTAAGTCAGGGCACGGCTAACTCTCAGATCGAACCCTGTAACAATCTCTGGGCTGATTTAAGTCAGGGCACGGCTAACTCACAGATCAAACCCTGAAACAACCTCTGGGCTGATTTAAGCCAGGGCACTGCTAACTCACTGATCGAACCCTGTGACAACCTCTGGGCTGATTTAAGCCAGGGCACGTCTAACTCGCAGATCGAATCTAGTTGCATATCGGAATTTTGCGTATTAGGTTTTGCGCAGAGAGGGCTAATAAATCAAGGGAAAGACCTAACAAATTCTACAAATATATATAGTGGAGTGCATTGGCCATATCTTTTCATCCCACGAAACAAAGATGTATAAATAGCTGTACTAACAGTCAAAGTAAAAGTAAAACAGAAGCTTAAGATTATTTGTTCACAGGCTAAGTAAAATCACTCTAGCTGTTTGTATTTAACAGAATTTTTAGTTATATTCTTTACCGCATTTATTGGACTATAGCACGCGTCTAACAGATTTAAACCTTATTCCACTTGGGATTGAAATAGAAAAGAAAAAAAATATTTCTTCTTCAAGCTATCTATGAAAGATTAACACAAAGTTTTTTTTGCTTCTTTTCAGGTTGTGTAATACCTGACGAAGAGTCGCCAATCACTCCGACCAGTAAGGCAGTGGCCCGAGAGTGCACTAAATCTATCCACGTATAGTAACTATTTCATCATTATTGAATTATTATACAATGTCAGAACTACTAAATTATAAAACTGGTAGAAAAACAATAGGCCGTTTGCATGATGGCATTATTTTACTACCACTACCAAAAATGCGCGAATTTTCTTTTTTATTTAAAATTTTATTTCCTCGTGAGAATAGTAAGACAATTGGTGCTAATTTACAGGAAAAAAAAAAAAAAAAAAGAAAAAGAAAAAAAAAATCGTACAAAGTGGTAGCGGTAGTACATGACACTATAAAGCAAGTGACCTATTCCAAATGACACTGCTACAATTTCTCTCTCATTCCAACGGTTCAAACGTTTCTTTCGTACCATGTCATCTGTATTGCATACATCATTCCCCTTACTCGTCAAAATACTTTTGGAATTTTGCCAACCTCTAGATTTAGCTTACAAATGATATTGTTGAATTCCTCTTGATTGCCAATTTCTAAGATGAACCTTTTCCCCCAGTCTTTTAACAATCTACAATAACAATAACAACTACACTTATTTTACCGAGGATGTAACAGATAAAGCTAAGCTTTATTTCTTACTTGGTCTTCCAAATTAATAATATATATAATACAAAATATAAAATCTATAATAGACTATACTAATTAATGCCAGTGACAACTTTTTGAGCACGTACCAGGACAAACTTTAAAACTTTAAAACTGTAATATAATTATAGTAAAAAATGAACATTTATGTTAATCCTTGATTATGTCCATTACATAAACCTACTTGAACTCAATTTCTTGCCAACCCAGTGGCTAGAATCAAATTCAACAAAGAATTATAAGAATGCTAGGTTTCTCTATCCAGCGCGCAGCCCATGTTAACTTGGTTAACTTGAGTTAGAATCTGGTCTGAACGCAGGCTATGGCTCTTAAAACCTTCTCATGATTTTGCGCCAGAAAATCAAAAACCAAAGAAAACAAAGAAAATATATGAGTTCGTTCTAATCAAAGCTTCTAGTGAAATGCTTCAAATCAGGAAACACTCCATGCGTGTGTCTAAGGGCAGACGAGGAGTCAATGTCTGAGACTCGAAAAAAATTAATTAGTTTCAGTACTTAATTATGGCCATTTAGAACCAAGAATCATCATCTGTTTAAACCTGATACGCACGCGTCTGGGAGTTCGAATCACAGACTATGGAAGGTCAATGTGTTATCTGAATACCACATATATCAGCTGAACCAATGGAGTATCCTTTATCGCCACTTGCTGCGCATCGTTTAGGAAGTGCGCAAGTCCCCAAGAGAGGTATTTGGGCGTCGCGATTGTAGCATGACTTCCTTTTGCTTAGTTTTGGGTTTTGCGCGGCTTTTTGAATGAAGTGGAATTGGGCGAGGAGTGAAAAAGCAATAAGTGTTTCCTAATTAATTTTATATCATTTTTCAAGTTTGATTAAATGAGTATAATTTGAGTTAGAAACAGACAGACAGACAGGTAGACAGACAGAAAGAGAGAATGAAAGATAGACACAAAAACAGGCAGACAGATATCTATATTTACAAACTATATAATTAAGATTCTACGCGCGCGAACGTCAAAACTATTTTATACAAACAATATAAAGAGGCAGCTTATGTGTTTACACTCTGTTACAAGTAGAGCACTAGAGAAGCAATGAGGAACAGAGTTCAAATGTAACTAAGAGCTTGTTTCTATCTTATTCCGAATGCGCCTAACGTGTTTATATCCTAGTGCAAAAAAGGAACACGCAAGTGTTTTATATTTTAGACAATAATCACACCAACTCGGATATATTTCTAAGCTCTATGAACTTCCAACAATCTAAAGCGTTTTAAATTTTCAAAATAGCATTCGTATAATGATAATCGCTTCAAAACTAGGAGAGAAGAAACCAGAAAGAATTAAAAATCGAAGAAGGTAAAGAATAGTTAAAAACCTTATCAGTAAATAATCTTCGCAATGAAAATGTAAGCGATACTATGATCAATCGGATATGATACTAAACACTAGCTCATGATTACATACATATTCTCTATACAAGTATTTTTGTAATGATATATGTTAACTTATGTTGCTAGATTCTAATACCGTATTTTAATTAGCTAAAAAATCAGAATTCTTTCTACAGTTTAAAGGCGAAAACGCAAAAGTGCGCGCAGTAGTTACTACAGCGGAACCTCAATAATACGGGCACCGAAGGGTCAGAAAAAAAGTGTTCTTAATATCGAGGTTGGGTCTATAAAGTAAAGAATGTATGGTGATTTTATCGGGGCTTAAATATCTGTCCGCAATCAAGAGGTGACCGTAATATAGAGGTGTGAGATAAAGAATGTACACTCAGTGGTGATTTTGCCGGAATTGTACTTCAGTCTAGTAATGGCAAACAAAGATTTAGCAATATATTCATACTATATTTGAGGAGACTAATCCTATCATTTCCTTTCCTTTTCACAATGGACTTTGCCTGTTAATTTAAAAACGATGGAAATTATCTACTATTACATCATTGTTCGTCAGAAACAAGCTTTGTTTCCTACAATTGTTTAGTGTACAAAATATTTTTGGCAACGAATTGCGTTTTACGTATTTTGGTTGAAGCGACTCGGAGTTAAACTATTTTTTATTTATTATTTATTTATTTATTTTTTTGAAGTGTTGGGAATAATAATGATCATAAATAATTCAGAGCTCTTTTCTAGGAAGGGCAAGAAGCAAGATGAGTTTCAAGGGTTGGCAAAATGGCGGCTTCCGATCAAATTTCATCTTCATTGAACTGTCTTCAAAAAAATCTCTGGCCTTTTGTCAACAAATAAATCCTTGAATCATCAACAGAAAGCCTTGCTAGTTCACAAACCCGCATTCATGATACTYATTTCAAAGTTTAAGAGGCAATTGATCGATTTTTAGAGGTAATTGATTTTTAGAATTTAATGCATATTGTAGACCACTGTTCTTTAATTGGCTAGTGATGAACTATAGTACAAAGCTGTAAAAAGCTTCAGATTATGACATGCCCCTATACATCTATACTTATAATATACTGAGTTTTTTACCCATATATGATAATGACATTCATTGTTAGACATTCTATGTGCAGATTTGTACGGGAAAGGAATCGAAGATGCATTTTTAGGATAGATCTGTGATGTGTTAGTTCACGTTCAGCATCGCGTCTATCTTTATTGAGTATCAAGTTGCGAATCACTTCGGGCAACTTGAAGCTAGTTTTGCTAATGTTGTAACTATAATTACTTCAACAAAAGCAACAAATGTCTTCTTTAAGCTAAGTAGACAGTGATAATGCAAAAAATTAAGTTTGAATTGATTTTGCGAATTAATAAATCCTCTGTGGTTATCTAAGGTGGGGAAGATTGAGTTGGCAAGAAAGGATAGTGTCGAAGGACATGGTATTCCCGACACTCCGTTAAGAATACTGATACATATTTACTATCCCATTAAAATAAATACAGGTTTAAGTTCCAGCAAGTTAACATTTTTACTTTATTGTTTTACAGGAAATTGCCATTGAAGATTGAATATTCTTTAGGAAATCTAGCCGATGAAGATGAGATGGCTAATTTACAACAAGAAACTGACTAGTGTTCTGGGAAGGAAGGCGCCGCAATGCCGTTGATGAATTTTTGTATAAATAATAATTAACCCTTTTTTCCACAGACATAGCGGAGGTTTTCTTTTATCATTGAATAAGAGCGAACTTTTAGTCGTTGTTTACTAAAAAGGAGAGAAACTTGATTGATAAATTAAGTTCTAAAAACACCTCGAGGTGAGAAACTAATTGCCAAAGGCGCCATCACCGGTGACACCGCTCGTTGTTCACAGATTCCAAACTTGTACACAACCATCTTTGTACAATATTACGAATGGTAATTACAATACAATCGCAAGGAAAACTAAAAAAAATATTCAACAATTAATGTCCTCGTATGATTGTAAGTGTAAGTCACATGGTGACTTTATCAGGCACTCTCGTCGTTTGGGAAACCTTTTGTTTTAACAACATTATCACTTTATTGTACTTCAGGTTAAAGTACGTAGATTGTTCAAACATCGTGAACTAATTGTACTAAACTATGAATCGAGGCTAGGTAGTGGTCGAAGTGATTAAATAATGGTGTAACCAGTCGAGATTTTTGTTCATTTTCAAGTTTTCGTGTAAAAAAATTACATGTCCACAAAGAATTACAACGAAGTTGATGATTGTAGAGATTTTCTACTTTTCGTTGGAAATAATCTATTATACAAAGAAACTTCACAAGGCTTCAAATATAATGTAACTGAAGTATTTATTCTGGGTTGAAGTATATATTTTCACATTAAATGCTAGAGTATTTAACTGAGTTAAACGTTCGCTATTGTAGCGAAGATCGCTGCTCTTTGGGCAGCCATTTCAAATATCCACTGATCACTTTTACCAAGTAATACACAAACAAGTATAGCATTTAACTATAGCAATACAAATACATAGGGGTTGGTAATAAATATAATTATAAATTTCATTAGGGTTGACTTTGGAAGAAGTGTCTAAAAAGCGAGCGCCAAATAGTCTTTTCTTGACGTGATTAGAGGTCGGATTACGTTGAGAGCACGCGGTGAATGATCTGCGCTAACAAGACAAAGAATCCCACACATATAAAACACACAAAACTACTACTGTAGACAACTTGAAGCTAGCGTTTAAGCCCTAATGTGCCTTGCAAATCTATAACGAAACAAAAATACACCAGTTTAAAAGTAATGAGAATTTTGTTCAAATGAAGGCATTCGAGGAATATGCGACATCGAGCGTAAATCTATATTCTCGTCGGAATGTGCTTGAAAAGTTTGCTGTCCTTTGAGCTTTTCGTCTTTCTTCCATTTCATTCTACGATTTTGAAACCATATTTTGACTTGTCGTTCAGACAAATGAAGTGACTTGGAGATTTCTTTCCTTCGAGTTGTACAAAGATATCTACTGAAGTGGAACTCCTTCTCCAGCTCGAGAAGCTGCTTGTTGGAGTAACTTGTGCGATGCCTTTTTGAGGTTCGAACTGTTAAACACAAGAATTATACTTTAGTACCATCAGAGACTCCTAATGTTTTTGTTATATCAACATGAAGCTTAATGGGTAACAGTAAGATATTAGCATACGTCCGAAGTAGTCTAGTTAGGGGATTTCACACCAGAAGCGTGGCTTGCATTAATTGAAGAATGCTTATTCACCTTAGTGGTGTTAAAGCACTCGAAATGCATACATATATTTGTAAACTGCCTTATTAAAAACACGTCTAGAATACTAATGCTTTGATTTTGGGGTTTTTGAGCATCATTCTACATTACAGAATAGTTTAACATACTATATACGTCGGTTATTTCATTTATAGGATTTTCAAGAGCGTACACACCTCCCAAAAGAAACCTTTCATACTGCAAGTTCAGTTATGATTAAAAAGTATGAAAAAATCCAATAAAACTATCAAAATTGTCTGCTACGAGCCTTGCCCGAATGTGCTGAAATAAATCTGCCAAACGTCACAATTGGATGTTGGTTTTCTTGCTTGGTTTGGACAAAGCTGCGTAGGTTGAAAACCATTAATCAAAAAAACGACAGCTAACCTTCATCCAACCGCTTACAATGACAGCAAGCTTTTCTTAAATGTCAAAACAGAGAAGAGAATGTTTCCATCCAAAACACGGGGTTAAACGTTATTTGAAAATACAAAAGCAGGTTTAAAATTGAAAAATCACAAAAATACTGAGAGGTTTTGAAAATGCATTTTTTGCCTTGAATTGGACACATGCAACTTGCTTAGTTTTCAGAATTACTAAGAATTTCATGGCATGAAAATGCAGGATTAAAGAGAGCTAAAGTCGACTGAGACGACTTACCGAACTGATTTGGATCACCTTTCTTCGGCTTCATCCAGGAGTACATCGGCTCCAACAAATACTCTTGTATTCTCACTGCACTTAACAAATTGGAGCTCTTACTTGGCTCTTCTAATGCCCCACAAGGCCTTTGATACGCACCCTCTTGCTCAACTACACCCACATTTTGTCCAATATAACAATCGCGAGAGTTTTTAGCCTGTCCAATTTGGCACTCTCTTGCTTGGCACAGCTGTTGCGAGTAGTTTTGCAGCATTGTCTCCGAGTTTGCATAAGAAGTAGAGAGCTCCATGTTTGCCGACTTAGATTTACATGCGCCTGACATCTTAACCTCAAAATAGTGATTTATGACAAAACGAGCTAATAAGACATTCTCAAGGGCTCACGTGATCTGTCCTAGCCAATTAGAACACTCCTTGAGACGCTAAGAAGCACGATCTTGCCTTTTGGCCTGAAGGAATGTTTACTGTGTCATTTTTATACCTATCTGAACAAGTACCGACACTCTAGGCTAATACTATGCAGTTTTGAAGTTGAAAATCTCTAATTTTCCAAAGACGCTCGGAACTAAACATACAAGGGGTGGTGCTTGGCCGCCAAAACCAGTTACAGCAGTTTGACCAGCCCTCTAGGATGGCATTCCAAGCCTTTCAGACATTTTGTATTACATCACACCAATGGAAACGAAATGTCACTTACAAAAACCCTAAAGTAGTAAAGGTTCGGTCCTATTCCGTTTCCGCTTTACATTAAGACAATGCACATGATAAGGGTGACCCTGTTTAACCTGTGTAAGTCTATCCAAAGATTTATTGATCTCTCTAGCACAAAGGCCAACTGCCTCTTTGATTAATGGTCCAACGATGGAAATAGTCGGTGTATTGCTCCCGCGAAAGGCATCCCGCTTTGTATTTCAATCCGCGATGCACATTCTTGGATCTGATTGGTTGGAATAGAGACGGGAAAAGGTTTCTGGAGCCACCTTGGCGCGCACCTTCTTCTTCGAATTAATTTAAGATTAATGACCTGCCAGGCACGCCAATAAGCCACGGATTCAGAAAATTAAAGACGGATAAAAAAATATTCGAGGGTCATAGCAAAAGATCAAAATGAGAAACGAGAATGGTTCGCTATTCCTTTAAATATGAGAACACAAGCTTTATTTTTAGTTGAAGTTGGTTAGCGTTGAAAGAGATACTTCGTGCTATTTGGCTGGGCATTGACGCACTTAAAACCAAACGAGAATATAGAATATTCGAAGTATCGAATGCGCTCGCGTTAGGCAAGGAGATCTGCCAAATCAGGTTCAAAATTGAAATGCGAGTCAATCTTACTGCTTTAACCGTTAATCTCAACGCAGATATATGTTTAAAAATCTTAAGAGTATTTTTTAAAAAATGGCAAAGCGAGCGTCTATTATGTATGTTATGACGAATGACTAATCTAAACGGCCCACACGTTTTGATGTGGTAAACCTAATCTTGCGATACGTATCACTCAGTGACTTACATTTTCCTTTTGGGGGCAATCCAAACACAGAAGATGCCTTTTAACATTTCGAAATCTAAAAGAAAGGCATTAACTTAAATCTAATAAATAAAAATATGAGCACTTAGAAAACTCAAGCAGTTGCTCCTCATAGTATAAAGAAAGTTATGGTTTAAGTACAAGATCGAAAATAGCCGTTTTATATGTGGTAAATATATTAATATTGGTAAAGAGTGCCCTATTCATGATAAAGTATGCTGTATTCATTCTTAAAGCTAATGGTTAGTGGGTGTAATTGCCTATTTAGTCTTAATTAAAACCGCATGGGATCCCGTGATATGAACGGGAAACAAAAAACACTACAAAAGAATATTGTGAAACTTCACTAACCTTCACAGAAGCTTTCTGTTTTGCCACTGAGTGAGTCGCAGAGCTTGAAAGGCTACCCTTATATCTGTTGAATTGTGTCGTTATTTTTCCTCTTATGATCTTTTTTTTTTACCATCTATACTGTGAAGTACTTATGTAATTCTCCTCTAGAAGCAATGAAAGTGATCTCCTTCCTTTTATTCTTGAATAAAAAGAGTAAAACTGATGCTTTTCTTTTCCATGAACATGAATTTTAGATTAAGCCAGAACAAGCAACATAGATCCTTTGTTTGAAGTCGATGCTCAGTGAAATATGCAGTTTTCCCAGGATTTGTTGAAGCATTTTATGATGGCACTTACTGAACGAAGAGATGCTATTGAGGTCTAGTGGCCCATCCATTTAACTTTAAGATTTTTAAAAAGCAGTCGATCCATTGGAAGACAATTTCTTGCAAGATAAAAACAAAAACCTTCAGGTTGATGGAAATCAAGATTGAAAACCCTTGAGCAGAAAACCAAAGGCACGCCTTGATCCTTGCCTTTCAGACTATATTGAGTTGTTCTTTAACCATCCCAGTTTCTTGAAATTTTCTCAAGTTTGTGAAGTAACAAATGCTATCTTGGTATTGAAGCAGATTTTAAAAACTGAGAAATAACTTGAGAAATACGATTGAGTTGCAAGTATTTTCCCTTCATTTTCGATCCAGATGACACCATAATATCTGCGACGTTTAAATGAGGAAACTCAGTTAAAAAGGGTGCAACCACACCAATGTTAGAAGCCAATTGAGGATAATTACCTCTTTCATAAGTGTCCGTTTTAGACCGCTTTTCCCATGTCTTTAATTGAAATCAACTCAGAGCGTTAGCCGTGTGCATGATTATAAGAACACCAAGGCGCAAATGATACAAATGGTCTAGGAGCACGATTAAGTATAAAGCTATTCCACTATCAAAACATCCCACGTGTTTGATACGTCATCAAGGTCTAAGTACCCCATTGGTGTACTCAGTAAATCTAAGCCGGAATGAAGACGTTCTGCTAATGAATCCCTACGAAATTGATAAGTAATTGTAAATATTATTTTATGTAATCTTTGCAGTAGCATTCTGTAGCCACGATAAAGACGGACACAAAAAGGTGAAAATATCATTTGAAATTCATTAATGTCAATGATTTGGGTTAAACGGTAGGAAGGCTAGAGTGACCTCAGTCTTTGAACTCTACATTAAAAACCACTAGAGCCCCACGTACTGAAGATGTTTGAGCATTTTTAATCGTAGTGTATAACATTAATGCTTTATTCTAGATATTAAAAATTCATTGCAAATAATGGACAACTTCTTCATCACACTGCGAAATCAGTCGTGTTAGGCCGGAGAACCACAGCCGAAGAAAAATTCGGCCTAAATTATTTTCAGTTTTTAAGAAGAAATAAAGTGGTTTTTTTTTCAAAATTCAACGACATTAATAAAGCGGCTCTTAAGATGCATTTAAAACTAAGGCCCGACCAAATTATATACTATAATTGTACTATAATAGAGACATTTCCAAAGTTGTTAATCGAATATAGAGGGATTCAAGATGCTCATGGAAAAAAACACATGAACGAGTCTTAAGGACCTCTAGCCAACTTCTATCTTTCTTTGCTTTATTTGCAAGATGACGCCGTTTTGTATCTATTTTCCTGCGCAGATTTCCGCTAACAAAGATAAAGTGATCGGAGTAAATGAACCCTGTACTAAACAGCGAAAAGATTTTCTGTATGAACTAATATATATATATATATATATATATATATATATTCTCACAGTTTTGCCTGTATTGGCATACAAAATAACATTAAATTGATGATTATGTTGAAGTGTGAAATAAATTTTACTAACCTCAGGTTTGGAAGACATAATGGATGGCAAAATAATGCTTTGAGGCGTGGAAGTCGATAGTTCTTGTTGGTGCTGATCTCCCTTACTGAGTTCCAATTTGCCAAGCCGTCACGTGTGGATTGCATGCGAGGTACGACACAGGGAACCCGTCTGGAGGGCGGACAAGTGAATAATCTTGCGTCTAGTTGATACGAAGAAATCAAAACATGCATCAAAGACAATCTATTCATATAAAATATGAAGCCGCGAAATTGTACTGGATTGCGGCAACATGAGCAACAGTAGTTTTGCGATTACAATTTTTTATTCTGCATGTTTGAGAAATATTTATGTTAAAGGAGATAAGATAGGAGAATGACATTTTACACCGGCAGGATTGATAAGAGTGCTTGCCAAGTAACTGTCCAAAAAGGATCGAGTGAATGATTTATGATTTTGCGTGTCTTGACACGGTGCCATTTGATACAAGTAGGGTACCTCTAACCTCTCGAAACTGAAGAATCGTTTCTGTTTAAAGAGTGACTCATAACCACACAAGATTCTTAGCTTTCCACTGATGTTTACCGTGTCGACTTCTAATAAAAATATATATAGGAGTTTTGAAATCTCGATCATAGATACCATAGAGAATTTATCTAAGTCCTTTTAGCKCAGACAAGTCTGTGACTGAAAAGTCGTTTTTAGAATGCGTTTTGTTTGCACGTGGCAGCCGGTGCAAAACGGCTTTACAAAATGGCCACCTTTGTGGACCTTCTTTAAACGAAGGCCTACTTTACTGAAGTCCAACCTACCGAAATAAATAATTATGAAAATTTATTTGATTCCTCAAATAAATTTTTGACCGGCTTGTTTTCTTAGGAATGAATTTTTGATAGCACTCGGCAACTATCAGTGAATTTCCTTGCTTCGCGTGGATTACTAGATTCCGTTTGTGTATAAAGCAAACCCTTAGCCTTGGTTCGACTGAAACTTGTTTATATTGTAAATATAGGGTTGCTTGGCAAGTTCCATCTAAAAGGTTCGCCGTGTAGCATGCAGCGTAGCCCGTTGAAACACGCTCATGGCGGGAAACTTTTACAACGAAAAATAGAATTCCTATTCGTTAACAACTCTTGGGCATTATTTTTCACCATTTGGTGCGCCAAAAGGGCTCTAGGTGGATAACTTACAGTTCTAAGCMATTATTTATTTAGAGCATTAGTTTTAATCAAAGTTTTCGGTCTTACCTATGGCTTTGCTGTGTACGCTGGAGTCTTTGTTAACGAGGACATCCATCATTGTCTGATGAAATATTACGTGTCTTATTGTGCGCAGTATGACTTGCACACTGGGGAATCAATATATGCATACCTAGTACGCGAGAAATAGAAATTCTTTCGTGGAGGCATGAATGAATTCAAATGCTATGCACGGAAACTCCAGCCTCGGGTAGGAACTATTATTCGTGGTCACTGAATGGAACTGTAAAATGGAGTATTGGATGATTTGCGAAATACAGTGTAGTTGAAAGAAGTTTTAGAACAGAAGCTATGATTACATCATGTATTTATGGTAAAGGTGAACTTCATTTTTATTTTTTTAAACAATCTTTAAATACAAAAACGGAACAATTTGTACACCGTTGTACACAAAAACGAGGTCACCCAGTCATTAGTTCACAATACAATATTTAAAAGTACATTAAATGAGTTTATAAGAGAAAAGTATAGAAATTTAACTCTTGTTTTGACCCGTGTATTCGCGCTATCCACCTTTATTCTAAATGAGCAGCCTTGTTCACCCTTGCAAGATGACTGGGTGACCTCGTTTTTGTGAACTCGTCAGCCATTATAAGAAGGGTATATAGCTTAGTTTTGTTTTTAAAATAATTAATTATAGTTACTGCGATTCTTAGTCACACCCGAGCAATTTGACCTTCATCACAAAATAAAAATTGAGTTTTGGTGGACCCGGCAATCAAAATATTCTGTTTAGGTTCTTCTTTTAACTCATGCATTTCTGTCTGTCTGTTCTACTGTCGCCCCTACCTCAGGAGACTGATCACAAGCAATTCCTTCCCCCATCCGTCTGTCTGTCTGTCTGTCTGTCTGTCTGTCTGTCTGTATTTTTAACATACTCACTTGTTCATGTCTACTTTTACCCCAAATGACTTTTCTTTTTGCACACATGTTAATAAAGAGTATCAACTGGTTGTGTTTGGTCCTTACAGTTGTGTTTAAATAGAAAATTTGACAAAACTCATACTGCAAATTCTAACAAATAATGATAAAATTCAAGACTTGATATTTCAGTTTCCCACTCGGTATCTCAATCACCAGAAGTGCTTTTGTTTTGTTTTGTTTTGTTTTGTTTTGTTGCTCGAGTCAAGTGGTCTAGGTTAGTTCCTAGTCTGTTAGGTTTTATTCTTTCTGAATATTAGGTGAACTGAGCTGTTTTGCAGAATTGTTTGCCTTGGGGATGTCACACTTGCACCAAATTATCCAGTAACTTTTCCCAAATAAAATTGTCGCCAGTTCGCGTTGTTATCGACTCCATGTTCATATTTGGTAAGYTTACCTTATTTGAAAGTGAATACAGATGTCTTTGTGGTGATTTTTACGACACTTATAGTTTTAAAGGGTCGAAAATATGAAAGAAAACTTGCAGATATTATAGCGAAGAAGCACTTCAAGCTGTCCTCCATATTGAATTTAGCTTGGAGACCTGGCCTTTGACAAAGGAAGCCCGAAACGTTTAAAACCACAGGGATCCCGCACGAACGACAATATAAGTTTGTAACTGAGATGAGCGGGAGAAATGATCCATCCCGGCGTCCATCCATTTATTTATCGTTGTAGCAGTTTTCCCAGTAGAATTAAAATACTGTCCCACAAACAGTCCCACAAAAAACTACATTTACACACTGGTATCTGTTTTAAAGAGTACTACAAGGATGACGACTTTTCCTTTATTTTCACATGACAACAAACATTTAAAACAATTTATAATCAATTTTCCACAATCTGAGTTTTAATTTCCGAGATATTCTAGCTAATTGGTTGACCTTGTGGACATAGAAACGGTAACTTATTTGAGTTGGGATCAGAAATGCAGGACAATAGTTTTGCAAGGTTTTCCCAACTGGAGCATTTACACAAATTTACATGCCGAGCACTTTATGGCTGTTCAACTAGTAGGGGTGCGGTCACTTTGGCCGCCATTAAGTTTAACCTACACATGACGAGGCATAAAAATCGGTATTTATACCATTTAATGACCTCTGATCGATCAGCAAACCAAACAACCATGGAATTGGTTATATATTGGTTTTCCATTTCATCTTTATAAAAGTTGTCAACAACTCAGCACACTATAAAATCCAGGGTATCGATAACTAGAATTAAGGATTTTCAATACAACTGATTAATGTGTCTCATTGAAGAGGCAACCCTAAGGGTCCAGGGATCTAGAGGGGTGTGGTCCCAGTAATTCGTCATTGGCCGTCATCTACTCCACATGTGAAGAGGCATAAACATCGGTTTTATACCATTTAATGACCTTTGGTCATATACCCGCTAGCATTTAGTGTAATGACCACATTTGATATCTTAAAACTCTGTCTGACTTGATTGTTAGGTTTGAGTCGAATGATACTTTATGTATAGTACAAACACGTGGATCACCAAATACATTTATTGCGGGTAGGAATAAAATAATGTACCATATGCGGCATTTCTTCATTTTTGCAATGATTTAAAAGAATTGTAACAACGTTGTTTACAACGTTGTAATATAATCTACAACACTATATATCTACTAATCCTTTTGAGGTCTTATGCTATTTTGAACATTATATTCCCGAGAGCCCCTGTATCGTGCTAGAAGTTTAATATCTTGTATGTGGCTTATTTGGTMTTTACGATTGCGGAGGGGACGGGGGAGCGAAAGGACGTCTGCTTTCTCAGGCTACGTTTTTATATGCACGGGCTTTTGCTGCCAAACGAGATTTTCCACGCCTTATTTGGTAAAACTAGCTTTGCATCCAAATATGTCGGTTCATGATAAATAACAGTGCAAATGATAAAAGTATGCGAATACATTACCTAAGGTCATATTTTTGCACATTGCGCTGTAAAATTTAAAATTTCCAAGTCATTCGGCACACCATAAATTCTCTATACTATGATTGTCTCTCATTAAGAATGCAGCCCTAATGATGTATGGAATGGCCCAGAGCTCAGATGGGGCTGGCCACTTTCAAGCAATTTGTCATTGACTGTCATTTACTCCACATGAGAACAGGCAAAAACATCGGCATTTAAGCCATTTAATGACCTCTGGTCAGATAACCAAACGACCATATGTAACTGGTTTTACAACTGCGTGTTTTATGTCTAGAACACATGAATAAACCGTTTGTATGGCACGACGTTTTTTGATACGTTTGCAGTGGATTTCTGAGCTTTCGAAAATCTTTTCTTCTCACTGTATCTTATTAATAAAATTTATAATGACTTGAAAGTCTTCTCTTAAAACTATCACACTAAAGCACTGGAACGTTTTTAAATGCTTTCCACATACAAGTGTCTAGTAATTCAACGAACCATAAAGTATGGGGTAGGTTTGAAGGCTTGAATTTTTTTCCATACAACTGATTTATGGTTGGAACATTTTTAATCGAGGCTTGGCTTAATGTCATCGTCAAGTTACAGTTCCTATACCTTTTTGTTGGCTTTCACGCACTCACAACTCACAAGAATCACAACTTTTATGGACACCGGTTTCGTTTATTGATCTCTTCAGTCCATTGATAAGTGATTCATAAGGCGGCAACCCTGCTAAATATGAAAGGGTCCAGATTTTAGAGTGGTGTAGTCCCTTTCCAGCTATTTGTCATTGGCCGTCATTTACTCCACATGAGATGAGGCAAGAAACATCGGTTTTATACCTTTTAACGACCTCTGGTCAAATACCCAAGCAAACAARCAGTTTATATTTTGCAGCTGTCGTTTTCATGTGTAGACCACATTAATGAGGGATACACCACGGCAATTCGCCTAATTTTTTAAGTGGTTTTGAGTGTAAAACATTCTTTCACTTTTTACCAATTTTTTCATCATAGCCTCCTTAGTAACACTACGAGCCAGCCCTACCGCTCGGAACGAGTTACATGATTAGATTAAAAAACAATAGATTGGTCATCCAAACAATAGCACTAAACCTAACCTTACAAAAGCGGTACTGTACTTAGGGAGCAATGAAAATCAGCTTTCGAGCGGACTCAACACTACGRACATTGTTTTTTTTCGGAAATCCTAGAATATACTTGCTCTTTTGATTCTATATTGCTACACTATTGTGTGAAATTGCTACGATATCAAAATAACTATCCCCGGGAACTAAAAGTATGCCTACTCTTCTTTGACTTTACCTTAGATGGAATTCAATTGTTATATAATGCGCAATTTTCATTAATAGTCATTTTGCTTGCCAACTCTGCGACTTGTTTTATTAAAAAAAACTGTATCGAATAATGAAGCGTTCAATATGGAAAAGTCAACTTGTTTATTTAAAACCAAGACCAAATTAAGACTAGATGTGGTTGTGGATTAAAAATAAGAAGATATTCTTATAATTTCCAGGAGAAAAGCACTCTTTCTTGACAGCCAACTAGAAAGCTTTGGCTCCTTTCGCTGTCGTACACTTACACCTATTATATGTTAATTATAGTAAAAAYTGTAAATATTATTCAAGCTATTTATATATTTTTGTAATTCTATTATGTAAGATTGAAAAAAAAACACAGTTTAAATAAATTGAAATTGAATGGAATTTAATTTCCAGTGATACATTTTTACATAGTCAATTTTGGTAAAGAAAAGCTTGTACTTTAGAGCTTGGAAAAATACGAAATCTTTTTGCGCAGCTAGACCTTACGCACTCAAAGCTATATAAGTATTATTTAGTTAAAACGATTTGTTTTAAGAACTCTCGATCTTATTTATATTATACATGTGTTATGATATCGTGACCAATATCAAACATAATAAAAGTGCACTGATTGGTAACTGAAAATTCGTACAAAGGTTTTGAGTAAATATATATGCGCAGCTTAACTTTCCAAGTAATATTTAGTAAATATGATTTGTAATACATCCTCTTATTTATACTACTATACGTTAGAATCCACAAATATCAAGTATAAATGTATTTTGGCTCAAGTGACTTCTTCAGACTCATAAAGTGGATCGTCAATATCATCCAAATGATATAAGTAATGAAGAGCTGTAGTACATCGAGATACTGTAATATTGACAGTGTGCTGAATAAAAACTTTATAGAGCTGATAGCATAGAGGTTGTTGATCAGTCTTATGATTCTGTTTATGCAATATTTGGTGTACAATTCASCTCATTTTGAGACACTGTATTTGGAATAAGGACCGCGATAAAACTGGCATGGACTTCTAAATACAGTAGTGCCTTTGTTAAGTCTGGCATACAATTTGGTTTGTGCATTATCTAGTGTACACTAAGTAAAAGAGCTAGTGCTAATAAAGGATATATGAAAACGTTTCCCAACATCCAATCATGCTGTAGAGGGAAAAACGAATTTCTTAGATCTGACTTTGAACTGTGTGGAATGAAATATATTGTCATGCACAAGCATTACACTGCTCCTGCTCTACAGCATGGCTGCCGTAAAATCCCTCAATGGATCAGTTGAATGAGAACATTAGAATTAGAAAGGCCTTGGAGTGCAGAAAGATAGTGTCTTGGTCTCTCTATTTCAATTATCTACTGATGGAACTAAACTCAATCAGTGGATATTTGAAATTGAGCGTCCTCGACTGACTGCAAGCATCAATGGCATGCACCATTCTTGGACCATGAGCAAACTATTGTCTACCTAGTTCATGGAGCTATTCAACTTGAGTTGCAACAGTAATATATGAAACCTAAAATACACAAATCAATATATATATATGTAAAATTGATGACATTTCGTTGCGCTAATGTTAAGTTAATGGTAAAAGAGACCTTTGTTTCATACTCTATATATGAAGTATGGAGCTCTCTGGAATTGAATGATAGCTTGCATACTAAAACATATACTTAAACGTCAATTGTTATCATTACATCAATAGTAAGAGTAAAAATGTGCTTTCTAATATACACCACTTTTCACTTTTAGCCACATATGCTCCCCTATATACAATAAAACATCTTAAACATCTAAATGCTTTAACCGAACAGCAATTTTCACATTACACTCGTAATGTTGTAAAAAAATGCTTTATAATCCACTGATTTCCACTAGTCTGATTAAGGAAAAAACAAGATAAAGATAACATATGCAGCGCTAGAGTCTTACAAGAAAACCAGCATTTAATGCTTAGTTAACATTGAGGAAACATTATAAGGTAATGGTGAAAATGAAGAGGTGTTTGTTCCACCGATGTGMACCTATCAACAATAAACAWGCTGTTGTCTACAGTGTTACTGGTTACTGACCTACTTTTACATCGTTGAATCTTTCACTTGGCTAATATTGCTTTATCCGAACAGCAATTTTCATTACACTCGTAATGTTGTAAAAATAAACAAATAAATAAATAGATAAAAAATGCTTCATAATCCACTGATTTCCACTCGGTCTTATAATAAACGGATAACATTTGCAGCGCTACAGTCCTACAAGAACTGAAAACCGGCATTTAATGCTAAGTTGCATTGATGAAACATTATAAGGTACAAATGATGGTTAAAATGAAGAGGTGTTTGTTCCACCGATGTGAACCTATCAACAATAAACAAGCTGTTGTCTACAGTGTTACTGGTTACTGACCTACTTTTACATC